TTGAGTCGGACACAGCGCACTGTATCCGATGGGCTAAAAGAAGACGGACGGACGAATGAAGCAAGACAGGAAGTACACGTCAGCGCGGGAAATCAAAAGGCGGTCGAGTGTCGAGTCGATTTTAAGGAAGATGGAAACAAGAAAGAATAATGTACAATTGGTCAATAGTAAATAACACACACAAGATAGTAATTATCTTTTTGGGCGATACAGGCCTTTGGATCGGGCAAGATGAATTTGGCTCCAGACCGGTAGCTCCACCAAGCAATATTGGAATTGGATGCGTGAAAGTTCGCTCGAAAGCCGTTGAAATACTCTATCGAGTGAAACCAGACAATGTTTCAGATGGCTAGAGCTACGCGACGTTTCGCGCTTGGATATCGGCGAAATACGGCCCGGAAATTAGAATAGAGGGTAAGTGTAGGATGCACAGGAGTATACTCGGAAAAAATAGTATCACGAAGTACACCTTGTAAAAGCAGGACGAATAAGTATAGATCCAAAGGTGTGCGAAAAATGTCGCTGAGCCACAGTTAAAAAAGAACGTGTGCACAAGTGAGCGATTAGCACGCAAGTTTAAGCGTATGTTGGTTTTGTTCAAGTGCGGTGAAGAAACATCATGGATGGAATATATATATATATATATATATATATATATATATATATATATAAACAGCATACCTGTCATCCGAAACTGAAGCCCGTCGTGTTTTCGTCCAAACTACCAAATGACCATGCACATAAACTGCACGATGACCTTTCATGAATGCTGGATGCATTTTAATGTATGCGTTCAAAATTGAAAGTTTGATATCCTACACTTCGTTGTGGACCCAGTGAAAGTCACAACTATGCTGCGCGAGGGACTCTACGAGTGAGAACCGAGCTTCTTTTCGAGATTTCCTCTTACATTTGATTCTTGAATTGTTATCATCACTCTGGAAATCAACACCGATGGTTTGGAGTGCGAAAACCTTACTTCGGATTGAACTGAACACACGGGTCTCATCAAGATCTAGGGTGAACTGCCGGGCGCTATTTCGACAACAAGGTTGTCCAACTGTCCCATATTGGTTCAACTATATTGTGGATATCAACATAGAGGGTTTCTTTGCAGAATTTCACCATGCAGGCATTGAGGTGCTACATGGAGAGAAAGTGGTTGGCGCGGATTACGCGGGCGAGATGGTTTTAATGTTGGAAAACCATAACATGGCATAATCAGCAATGGACGCCGCAGTAATCATGTGTTTTGTACCTACGAAGTGTAACTGCAGGAGTACCGACCACTTGATAACTCCTTGGCGTTTGGCGAAGGGGATTTGAAGGCTGATTGTTATCTTGAATGTGTTATACGAAGCGATAGGCGCGAGACTGTTACACGTAGTGCTAAAGCTACTAAAACGCTCATGAAGCTTCCGCATCGTTGACGCCAGAGATCGATTTCTACCGATGTAAAAGACTATGTACACAGAACCAACAAGGGAGCCGTTCGCCTCTATGGGAGTGAGATTTGGTCAACCCTATCCGGGGGACCGTCAAGTATTTGCTGGTGACTGCGCAGCATTGTTGTTGTTGGATGACATCAGTGTATCCACAACGAGGACATGCGCAGGCGAGTACTATGTGGCAGAAACCAAGTTAGTTCTTCAGAACAACAAATGATGTCCAATAATTTTCGGTGGTTTGTGTGTCTGCAACGTATGCTCAATCATCATTTAGAAAGGAATGTCTTATTATTTTATTGCATGCATAGCGCAAAGCTTGAGAAGGGCAAACATATCCACGGCAGTAGAAGGTGAATTCCGTTGTGGAGGGTTCCAGTGTTACCGTCGGTCCGTCTCGCCATCCAGGATGGAGTCCACGTGACTCGCCTAGTGCTTGGCCAGAGACATTGCAGACATGCCTCGCAGTCTGTACCAGTGGTGCGTTTGCTGTCGTCTCCTAGTTAAACTAACTGATCAAAGTGTGTTTGGTGCAGAGTTATCTGTGAGGTAATGGTTGACTATGTCGCGGGGCAGTAAAAGCCGCAAAGAACCTGTATCGTCGAGGCCACCTTAATTTTGCGCGATTTACAGTAGTTTGTGACCGTGTGTTGCTGAATCAAGTCACAAAGGGATCACATACATTCGAAAGATCCACAAGCGTCTCAGAAGTACAAGGATAAGAAGGTGAATTCCAAGTGTGCAGCCGTCAAATGAGTTAGCATGGTTGCCCACTTTTTCCAGTGCTTGCAGTCGACTGGGTTATGCATCACGCCCTTGAGGGCTATCGTGGTGTTCAAGTTAGCCTTGATTGCTGCCTGTCAGATCTAAAAGTTGCTGACGATATCGCTCTCCTTGCAGAAGATTCGACATCACTACAGACACTGCTGAATCGGGTCGACCAATCATCCACGAAATTAACATCAGCAAGACGAAGTAGATCTCATCATTAGCCAACCAGTCGCTCCTTTCATGGACAACTCATCGAATCTGTTCCTGAGTTCAAGTCTCTTGGATCCACTATACGCCCCAATGATCAGGCTACACATCCGAAATCGTATTGACAGCGCTAGAACAGCCTTCTTACAACTGAGAAAAACATTGTGGCGAAGGACGGGAATTAGTCTGAGAACAAAGATGCGAGTATGCTCAGCAACCATTCGTGTCATTTTACCCTATGGTTGCGAAAGATGGCTGCTGCGATCCGAAGATACCCGGAAGCTGGAAGTCTTCAACCATTAGTGTCTAAGGCTTATCATGAAAACGCAGTGGCATGAGCGTATCACCAATGACGAAATCCGTAAGCGTTGTTACGGTCTTCCGAAGCTCTCAGCGCTCATCCAACGCCGCAGACTCCAGTGCCTCGGTCACGTCCTCCGCAGACCAGACACTGACTTGACTAGGGCCGTGGTTTCACCCTCGCCTTTCCAGGCTTGGTGTCGTCGCCTTGGTGGACAAGTGAAAACGTGGCTGGTTGCAGTGAAATCGGATGTCAATCTTCTGGGATCCCATGTTGTGTATGGTGCTCGTCACTGGAGTAAGGATCGAGTCAATATCTGCGTGGAGCTTGCCGCCGACCGCCGTGCTTGGGGAGCTGCAAACCGCGACACTCATGAAGCCGACTCATCCTGTCTCAGGAGCTAGTCGCAGTAAAGTAAAAATTAAGTAATTTAGCTGAGCAAAATACCTCGAATCTATACAGTTCGGTGACGGGTACCTCCTCGATTGATCACAAATAGGTAAGGGAAACAAGTTGACTGAGGAAGTTGCCGAAGAACGCGGTATTAACAAACGGAGTAAGATGTGCTGTTGCTAGTTATCGCACGAATTATAACAAACGTGGCGGCGCCTACAATATGGCCGTCGTCGTTCTCCCTAAGATGTCAGTTTCTGCACTATTTACCTTGGAAACATCAAGTTTGTAGGAAAAATATGACGAACATTTTTGTTGAACAATTTCCAAAGTCACTGAGACCACTTAACTCCATCAATTCACTGAAAATATTCTCCCAGTGTGAGAACTGCCTCTTCGTAACGCCAAGCTCTGACGATCTGATATTAACTCTCCTAGTCGGCAGAACGAATGCGACTTGGAACTATTTCACGCATGACAAGTAACCAACAAAATTCGAAGTTGTACGACCAGTGAGACTTTGGCGCAACACGTTTACTACGCACGAGTTGAACAGGCTCCTAGACCGAACTCGTTTTCACACACAGCTAACCAAACCTTAGAGAACAAGACAAAATGACAGGCTTTTCGCAACAGGCACTTTGAGCGGTCAGGCTCAAGGCGATTACAACGCAGTCCAGTATTGCTTTTATACCTCGATGATGCCAATGATTCGCGTAAGCAAACTCTGGAAGCATCTGAATTGGTACTATGCAAATATGCCAACGGAACATGTTGAAAAGTGAATGTTGGTAGATGCGGAGGCCGGACTGGAAAACTGAATGTTTCTTAGGTGAAAAAGGCTGAATACTTTATGATTGAAGGAAGGTTGACCTGAGACAGGAATATTTTCTGAGATACAAAGGCCAATCGAAACGTGAATGTCTCACGAGTTGGAAGGCTGATTGAAACATGTGCACTTGTCTGAACCGAGTCTCATTACCTTCCGTGGTTTAAGTTTGGGTCCCCATAACCCCCACGCACCGCGGACAACATGTAGTTTGTTACGTTTGTCAAAATTAAACCAGCTGTCAAGAAACGTTTAAACAAAGTTGGTCTGGTCAACCGGGTAACAGTCCTTATAATTTTTCCATCAATACGGGACCTTCACTCAAAGGTACGGGACTGTTTACTTGAGCGACATCAGTGCATTCTGTGTTACCATTTGTGAAGTTTTTGCATAGTTAATGATGCTGTTTTAGCTACCTAAATATTAACTTGACTTGACTCGAAACCACTGCACGTGAGTGTGAGGTTACCGGATCACAGAGACCAAAAACAGGACAACATGGATTGAAGGGTTTTGTGAGTTCGTCAACATCATTTTGGGACGCAGTATGAGGGGAAATGTGGTAGCCTAAGGCGAAAACCTCACAGTGAACGCGTTCCCAATTACGGACAGGCTATACTTAGGCGCGTGAGCGGTATCCGATAGTAAAACCAGCAGAAGGGAAATCAACAAATCGACTAGTGTTCCGCTGAACGGGTTTATAGTAGTCATAGTAGAGGTAGTAGTAGTAGTAATTGCGTTAGTAAGAATAATAAGGATAACAGATGTGTTGCAAGGAAACGGAAAAAAGATTAATGTTATGAACAGAAGAATCAAGTGGATGGGCCCCCAGGCGCAAAAAGAGAGACAAGAGCGGGGGACGTGACACGAAAGTAACATAAACAAGTCAAAATAAAGCGAATAACGGTTTCCTGTAAAGTGAGTGTGAGGGGCGGGGCAGGGCGGGAATGGTTCCAACGCAGCTGTGTCCGACACGGACATAACATGAGAATGCATAACTAGCGCTCCATGAGGGGTACAACCTTTTGGCACTCGTGTCAAGCCGAACGGCCGATCAACCGAACTCGAATTGGACATGCATCAAGGACAGAATGTCATTGTGACGAGGATCTATACATGGGAAAAGAATGTGAGGATGGAGGAGAATAATGAGTACATGTGATCAACATAAGCAGAGTGGCAGCGGCGAATGCAAGGTGGCCGCTCCAGGACATTTCTTGTATGCACATCGTGAACCCACCTGAATCCGCATCGATAAACTTGTGTCGATAGAGAAAATCAAGGACCACTAAGGCAGAGTTTGATTTGGATTGTTCACTAAGAATGACCTCCTTCACCTGAGGGAAGATTAAATTACACGTTATGCGGGGGGCATGAGAGCTGTGAGTACATCAAACTTGTCACGCGTGCGCGCACACAAACAACACAGTCAGGAACACTCGTCTGAAATGACCTTGAGATGATTAGAAGGACAGAAGGGGAGGGGCAGTAAGTGCGAACCGACTCACCTTGAACGTGCAATGAGGGCAAATAGTTGCGTAAAAGGTTGATTTTAACGAAGCATTCATCCAGTAGTATATATTTGCATATATCAATGTAGAATGCAACATGAGATTGTTGCCTGCGGGAACGCAACCATAGTGATAGAGAGCCCGGTTGGAGACCTTAGGGAAATGGGGTGTTCTTTCAGTCAACAATACCTAGCCAGATCCTTTCAATAGAGTGGGTGACCTTGAATGCAGGTGCGTCCGTACGAGCGCGTACGTGCGTGCGCCGTACAGATGTGGAAATTTGGTATATATTATAGGCCATCGGCTCACATTTCACGCGAGTAATTCTAAATGTGGGTCTTCATCAAAACAAACCGAGGCCGAGGGCAAATGTCCACGAACGTGTGTGCGTGTGCGACTCACCTGGGCGACACTGACCAACTGGAAACTGTCCACTTCTCCATCCGCTCCAACTGGGACAATGTGGTGGGTAACTTCCAGATCAAAACAGTGCTCTACTTGAGGGCAAACTCGGCGCTCGTCTTCAAATATATAGCTACATACAGGATATGAAGCGGAGAGAGTGGATAGGAATGTGTTATTAAGGGAGGGTCAGCGTAATAAATAGGATAGACTGACAGTAAGGAACGAAGGTACCGTAATCGCAGCAACAACGATAGCAGCAAAAATATCCCAAGCACAACAACAACAACATAGACATTGTCAATAATAGTGGATCGGTACCTTGTGCTGATTGTCAGCTTCTATGTAACTACAAGAGCCTTACGAGTGAGGAATAGCGTGAAAACTAAATGTCATAAACAAACATTCAGGGTCAAGGCGCCCACTCCTGTCAACAGAACACGGTCACAAACAGCTGGCTATTGTGTGGAGACAAGGCAATAACGGTGAACCCGTTTCACAATAGCTTCGGATTATGATCACCCTCACTCCAGATATAAGTTGGTACCAGACACACTTTGAACGGACGGTTCGATTAGCAGACAACAGTAAATACGTAACCTGTAACGGCTACAATCCATGCTTGGTAAGATCTTAGATAAAACAATAGATGGCAGCGAATTTATTTTCAGCTGCTAAGTCGACTTTGCTGCAGGACCAGCAGTCATTTGATGACCCGCTAACCCTTGATAACGAGGAACTCGAGGTAGTTGATAGATTCACTTACCTAGGCAGCTGCATCAGTAACGATGGATGCATAGCTACTGAAGTCAATTCACGCACTGCAAAAGCCAGAACTGCCTGGCTGAATGTGCGACATCTGTGGCGTCAGATGAGAGATACATTATATCTAAAAAGCCGTATATGCAAAGCCACAGTGAGAGCCGTCCTACTGTATGGGAGTGAGACTGGGAGCCTCCGATCTGAGGACATAAAGCGCTTTCAATCCTTTGATCGTCGTTGTCTGCGAAACATTGCTGGTGTCGGATGACACCAACGTGTCCGCAATGATGATGGGAGTAAGTGAATACTAGACAGTAATAGTCAGGCTAGTTCCTTAAAACAACTCAATAATTTGCGTTGGTTTTGGAGCGCACTACGTATGCCCGATCACCCCTTACCGAAGAGGCCTTGTTCGTTTGCCAAATGTCGGGTGGCATAAAACACTAGGTGGGCAAAAAGTAACCTGGCAGCGGGAAATGAAGTCACTGACTGATTTTAGTGTCATCAGTCCGTCGCGCCTTCCTGGCTGGAGTCCACTTGACTGGCCTTGTGCTTCGCTCGAGAGTTTACGGGACATGGCTCGCAGTCGACATCAGCAACACGTCTGTTGTCGTCGCCTAGTCAGATTGGCTGATTAAAGTGTATTTGGTGCTTATTTATCTGCGAGTTTATGACTAATAATTACCCGGAGCAGTGAAAGCCGAAAGTTGCGTTGCCGATGCCACATAATCTTTGCATGATAACCAGCTGTTCGTGACGCTAGGTTTTTGGCAAAGTGTAGGCGCCTTGATCCCGGATGTTTGCTTGGGACATTACAGTCTTCCGGTAAATCACCCTTTTCTCACTCTCATTATTCTTCCTTACGTAGTTCCTCATGGTTGTATGGCAGCGAAGCATCAAATCAAATGACTGATGTACTGCTGTTTTGAAAAGACCGTGTAGCAAACAAGTGAGTTTTCGGTAATTTATCATCAGGCCAAATACATCGCATTTAAATAGTTAAGATAAGAAAGGATAGATTGAGTCCCTGGAAAATGAAGATGTCAAAATGCTCAAAGTGATTGTGATTCGTTCACGCGGAAGCTACCCGGACAACAGCTGCCAACCGTAAAGTCAAAACCTCGACGAACTTTTAGTGCATTCACACAGCAGAGGATTGTTGAGTCGAATCGCGATCGCCTCCGCCAATGTCTACAGGAACATTCATTTTTGCATACAATCCTAGTAAATTTAGAGTCAGGCTTACCTGGATATTCAGAGGTCACGTAGATCAGATGGCTCATCGCAGCGCAGACTTCACAGGAAAGCGACGTAGACGGTTAAATAGACGCATTTCGATGGCTTCTTGTGAATGCGACAAAAAACAAAAACTAGTCCGAGGCCATGTGGGAAGAGCGACGAATATATGTACCGAGGACACAACAGAAGTAGGACGTGCAAAAATGAGATTTTTTCCTTGATAATGGCTATCCACAAGCCTTCATTGAAGGGAATAGGCGAATGGATTGTGTGGTCGCCAAAACACCCAGTAAGAAAGAAGCCCGCCTACTTATCGGTGCCATACAAAGGAGATGATGGTGCCGAATACTTGAGCAAACGATTAAGAACGGCCGTCATTAAGATTTACGAGGGAAACACAATTATGCATTATCTTCACTTTCAACCCCATGGTACGACACCCACAGAAGGATAAACTGTAGGTGGATGACACCTCCTTCTGTGTATACTAATTTACTTGTTCCTGGGGGACATGTTACATAGGTCGCACTACAAGACATTTGTCTGAAGGCGCCCAGGAGCAGCACTTAGCGTGGCTAAACAGAAGATTGAACCAAACCTGCACAACCGCGATAGTTGCGCACCTAGCCCAAACGAATCATTCCGTAGTTATCTCTAAAGCCTTTCGCCCGATCTACTGCGTGAGGGGTGTTCACTGCAAATTTATCAGATGCTGAATCCTTGCGTTTGCGGAGGCCATCGCGAATCGTCTCAATAACCCACCGTTGTGTGTGTACAGACAGTACGTCAAGGCTTTGGCTTTACCGTCGCCAGATGTGGTCCGGGCAGCTTCCGGGTGAACGAATCACACCCACTGGGCATCTTGACACCTTCATATTCTAGTGACGCAAGCTATGCTTTTTCAACTTAACTATTGAAAGGTGATACCACGATCTCATTATTTAGTCTTATATAATCTTGCATAGTAATTTTTTTTTGGTGCACAGCAGCCGGCTGGTAGCTTACCGGGACGATGCCCATCCGTTACCGGTAGCTCAGCCAGCCTGCACCAGTTGCTTTTTTTCTCTCCTTTTTTTCTCTGTGTTGCGGCACAGTGGCTGAGGTGTTCCCCACCTCTAGCTAACGTGTATGATGATGATGATGATGATGATTGAAAGGTGATGATGAATCACCAAAAATGAGCATTTTGCTACACCGTCTTTTCATGACTGAATTGGGAATTATTCGCCAATTGGAAACCTCAATGATCCCACCATACTGCTGTTGGATGTTGCTGTTTTGTGATTTCGGTATCGAGGAAAACAAAAGTAATCTAGGAGAACTGGTCCCAAAAAAGACCTGTTCATGCATGATTTCGTTGCTGAAATCCTATCCCAGCACCTGAAAGCTACTGTTAAAAAATGGTTTTTCTCGGCTCCATTGAAAATTCTTTGATAAAACCAGTCAATCCTAGTAAAACCTTTGAAAAATAGACTACGCTCATGGACACGTTCGATGCTCGTTTAACAGTGCTCCTAGCCTGTGATCTTAGGCATCACAAGCCTACCTTGTAATCCGAAGGCGCGAGTTCGATCCTGTGCAGGGGGCCGAGCGATCCTCACAGTATTCTTAACCCACGTGCCACTTTTGGTGGTCGAGCGGAAGCAAAGAGTCGGTCCTGCGTACATGCGTACTGCTGATGTCTTTTCTATCAGTACTAGTGCTCCCGTGGTGCACAATACGTGGATCGCACTACGACGACCTTAGCTCAGAGGATTCGCGAGCACATCTCGGTCTGGTTCTACAAAGGCGAAATAAGATCCCCAAGCCGCTCTATTACATCACATGTCCTTGCTTTTCGACATAAAGCCTCTGGAATGAATTCAAAATAATATACTAATTGACTATACGGTTCGAGCAAGGGTTCCGAAAGCAGCTCCTATATGCCGCCGGGAATTGGAATTATGTGTGTAAAAGCGGTACATGGTTAGAGGCATTCTGCTCCCGATTTGCCTGTCACTGAGACCTCCATATGATAACCACAAGACGCCTGTGCTTACAGAGGGACCATGGCTGGTTTGCGCTGCACCATCCACAGCTCCAACCACACACCCCATATCCAGTGTGAACCCGAAGAACTAAGACCGGGAGACATGTGGATGAGAGCCACGTTTCATAAACGGAGCTGGCCCACACTCATTCAACATGCACAGCCCCAGCTTTCCTGTCTATCCACGTAGGGAATCATGCGTACCAGACGTACACAAGGCGGAGGCTGGGCAGTAGTCCGTTCCACACTGGATGGAACCACTGCTTGAACCTACCATGGCTACGAGGACCGTGCACCACCAGCGACGATTCACAGTCTCCTGGAACCATTAATGGAGGTGGAGGGTGTTAGATAGGTAGGCACATTGTCAACATTCACCTCAAGCGCAGCCACACCGTGGACATGAAACCACGAACATATAATTTAAGGAAAGCAAACACGCAAAATTGACACAAATATGCAACAGAGTAACAGAAGTGACCAAACCAAATGCATCCAGATTGCGAGTAGCCTTCACAAACGTTTGCAGTGTTATGAATAAGCGCAATGAGCTTTGTTGTTTCGTTGCGTCTGAGCGGCCAGACGTAGTGGGACTCACAAAGACATGGCTAAATGCAGAGTTATACACCCAAGAACTTGAACTCAAAGGTTACTCGTGCTTCTGAGGCGATAGGCTAAAGAATGCTCACGGTGGTGTCCTACTTTACATCCCGTCTTCCCTGCGTGTGAGACTTGTGAGCACCTACCGAAGTGACGATGGTTTGTGTGAGCTACTGTGGCGCTCCATACGCCTCAGGCGAGGAGAACTGCTTGTGGGCGCAGTTTATCGCAGCCCCTTGAGTCGTTGTTTGGATTGGCTGCCCCATCTTCGAACCCACATGAGTCGTCCAAACTTTCTACTTATGGACGATTTTAACTGTCCTCGAATACGATGGCCTGATGTGCATTTGATGCCTGGACATAGTGAAGTTGGAGCAAAGTTCGTGGATTTGGCACTTGAAAGTGGTGCATCGCAACACATGCCAGCCAACACGCATAACGACACGTTCAACCCCGTCCTGTCTCGACCTGATGTGAACGAGCTACGAACAACGAGTGCGTGA